CATGCAATCCTTTTTGTGCAAATACGGCTACAAAGCTCATTGTCTAAATCACATTACATGTGGAGTAACTGCACTTCTTCTGTAGCCTTTCATAAGCTTCTAATTAACTTCTCTTTTAATTTCATACTTTAGCACTGCCATGAGCTGTGTTGTTCTGCATGGGTTAGAGGTTGCTTGGCACATTAACAGGTCCATGAGATTGTGCCTGAAATTGTCTTTGAAACAGTGAGGTTTATTTTCATTCTAATTAGCAAATAGCAGTAAATGATGTTTCTCCTCTACTTCTGTCATGGTAGATGAGGAAGGGCTGTTGCTGAGTGAATGCATCTCTGTATATGAAAATGACAAGGCTAATGTTTGCCCACATTGGCCATCTCACTGGTGATGAGCAATACGAGAGCTTGCCCCTAATTTGCTCATGGTCAGGGAACTCAGAATCTGATCCATGTGAATCCCAGGGAGAGGGAGATGAGGCTGTGCCTTTTGTACCATTTTCTTTTCAGTAACTACAGCAGTAGTTGTGTTACAAGAAACAGGACATTTCATCTGTTCATCAAGGACTGGAGTGATAGAACAAGGGGTGATGGGTTCAAACTGAAACAAGGGAAGTTCAGGTTGGAGATAAGGAAGAAGTTCTTTACTGTGTGGGTGGTGAGGCACTGGCACAGGGTGCCCAGAGAAGCTGTGGCTGCCCCATCCCTGGCAGTGTTCAGGGTCAGGTTGGACAGAGCCTTGGGTGCCATGGTCTAGTGTGAGGTGTCCCTGCCCATGGCAGGGGTTTGGAACTGGATGATCTTAAGGTCCTTTCCAACCCAAACCATTCTATGATTCTATGACTTGCAAATGTCAAGGGAGTGGGGAGAGGCTGATTGACTTCATTGGGTGCAGTGGCTAAAAGCGTGAGGAGAGCACTCCCTTCTCTCACCGCACCGTTAACCTCCATCAGAGTGTCACCGCTATTGATACACTGAATCTCATCTCTGTCATTGTGCCTGTTAGATTAATGACTGATCCCAACCCTGGAACCTCTCTGATACAGTGGTAGTAAGGATAATCTCATGAATTATGCATATTATCTGCTGGAATCACACATTCTTGCTCTTTTTTATTTACTAGCCTTTTCCCCAATATGCTTTGGGGGTCGTTTTGGTAATTGAGTTCACATTTCAGGATTCTGTTTATAGAATCCATCATTTCGTAGAATCATAGAATGATTTGGTTTGGAAAGGACCTTAAGAACATCTAGTTCCTGATGAAGAGTCCTTCTCCAGCATCCTTATAGGCCCCCTTCAGACACTGGAAGCTGCTCTGAGGTCTCCACACAGCTTCTCTTCTCCAGGCTGAACAGCCCCAACTTTCTCAACCTGTCTTCATACAGGAGGTGCTCCAGCCCCTGATCATCCTCGTGGCCTCCTCTGGACTTGTTCCAACAGTTCCATGTCCTTTTTATGTTGAGGACACCAGAACTGCACACAATACTCCAGGTGAGGTCTCACAAGAGCAGAGTAGAGGGGCAGGATCACCTCCTTGGACCTGCTGCTCACGCTCCTTTTGATGCAGCCCAGGATATGGTTGGCTTTCTATAATAATTTACAAGGAGTGAAAAATACTCCCATTTACCTGGGAGTTTCCAACTGGAGAGATGGGGTAAGGTTATCCGTTTAAAGGTTTATTTGTAGGATGATTTTTCTGATGCCATTTCCTCACAGCACATGGACTCAATCAGCAAAAAGAAAGTAAAAACAAAAATCATCTCCAATTTGTCATTAATAGCCTGGATCTTTTAAAAGATATTTTCTAAGGCAATTACTGCTGAGTGCATTAATAAGGCCAGAAGAGAGGCTGATTAAGAGCTAGTTTAAAAATAAAAACAACATTTTGTAGTTTATGTCACTAATAAATCTTTAAATAATGATGTTTCAAAAATATTTAGATTCTCCATCTTTTTTTTTTTGTTGCCTGCTTTCCCATTGCATTTCCAGCAGCTCCAGGAATGAGTGGCAGATTAACCTTTTCCACTTTGTTTCACAGTCAATTCCTTTGCTTTTTCTCATACTGTGCTGCTGAAGTCTGTGTTTGCATTAGGGTGGGACTGCAGATTACTTTAGGAATACGGCAGTGCAAACAAACCCCATCTTTCACTCAGGTTTTACTTACAGTCACCCACATGAACATTAAAAAGCCCCAAACCAACAAACAAAACCCAAAGCCCATAAAGCCAACTGTATCCTGGGCTGCATCAAAAGGAGCGTGACCAGAAGGTTGAAGGAGGTGATCCTGCCCCTCTGCTCTGCTCTTGTGAGATGTCATTTGAAGTATTGTGTGCAATTCTGGTGTCCTCAACATAAAAAGGACATGGAACTGTTGGGACAAGTCGAGATGAGGCCACGAGGATGATCAGGGGCTGGAGCACCTCCTGTATGAGGACAGGCTGAGAACACTGGGGCTGTTCAGCCTGGAGAAGAGAAGCTGCGTGGAGACCTCAGAGCAGCCTTCCAGTGTCTGAAGGGGGCTACAAGGATGCTGGAGAGGGACTCTTCATTAGGGACTGTAGTGACAGGACAAGGGGTGATGGGTTCAAACTGAAACAGGGGAAGTTCAGGCTGGAGGTAAGGAAGAAGTTCTTTACTGTGAGGATGGTGAGGCACTGGCACAGGAAGCCCAGAGAAGTGGTGAATGCTCCATTCCTGGCAGTGTTCAAGGCCAGGTTGGACAAAGCCTTGGGTGAGATGGTTTAGTGTGAGATGTCCCTGCCCATGGCAGGGGGGTTGGAACTGGATGTCCTTAAGGTCCTTTCCAACCCTAATTATTCTATGATTCTATGAGTTGGATATCCTTTTTAAATACAGGTAGGCACCATCTTAATGCTGGTTTCTGCTATTGCTTTGCAGCATGATGAACAGAACATTATTAGACTTTCCATCTTGGAATGAAGAAAGCCATGGGATTTGATAAGGAACTTTGGCAAGTGAATTGGTATTTTCCAGTACATTGATTTATTTCATTCCAAAATGAATTGTCTTTTGAGCTCTTCTAATCCACAAGAAAAAAACCCTAAAACCTATTTAACTGCGCCTTGGTGGTACATCAGAATTATGCAAAACCTGTTAAAGTTTGCCTCCCCTTTGCTTAAAAATGGGAGAAAAGTTCCTAATTATAGAATCATCCAACCAGAGCCACCACTCCACACTCTGTCAGAATTAGCAGCTTCTTAATCCATTGCACAGTTCACTCTTCATTTATTCCATGTATTTGAACTCTTATTCCACAGTTAACCATTACTGATAATCAACATTCTCCCTCATCCTCCTGTCTGGACAAGAGCATCTCAGCCAATGTGGATGTCTGTGGTGAAAGTAATTGTCTGGATTCTCTTAATCCTAGATCTTTGAGTGATTGGAATAGGGGTAAGAATCCCACCAACTCATTTCCCATTGGCTGTTAAGCTTGTCTGAGCTTCAGATTGCTGTTATTCATCCCTGGCAGTGTTCAAGGCCAGGTTGAACAGAGCCTTGGGTGACATGGTCTAGTGTGAGGCATCCCTATTCATGGCAGGGCGTTGGGACTGGATGATCTTAAGGTCCTTTCCAACCCAAACCATTCTGTGATTCTGTGTTGCCACCATGAAGTGATGGACTTTTATTCTCATAACAGCCTTGTGGGTCTTTGACATTTCCTTCTCCTAAATCAACAAGAGCCGCTGTTTGTCTTCTTGCAGAAATCAAAAGGCAGGGAGTGTGTGGGTTTGTTGAGTTGGTTGCTTCTTAGTTTTGTTTTTCTTTTTGACTGCTGCTTAAAAAGGAGTAAAGGATAAGAACATGTATTTTTTCCTAGCAGTAATATGGTTTAACACGGATTTAGAGAGTATCAGGATTGTACTGCAGGCCACTGTTTACTTTCCAGCATCTTTAACAAGCTGGAGAAGAAAAGACTGAAAGCCACAAAATGTAAGTTGGCTGCTGGAAATGTTCTGATGTATTTCTTGTGTCCTTGAAAAAGCAGGGACCTTGTTAAGGATAAAGTAACGTGATAGGGTAGTAATGTAATGAAGTTTTTTGGTTGGCTGGAACTTTTAAAATGAGTTTGGTTAAGTGTTTTTCCCCAACAGTGTGAGCTGGAAGCGGTTCTGTGAGCACCTCTGCTTCATCTCACCCCTTCTCATAGAATCGTGGAATGGTTTGGGTTGGAAGAGACCTTAAAGCTCATCCAATTCCAACCCCCTGCCCTAGGCAGGGACACCTCCCACTAGAGCAGGTTGCTCCAAGCCCTGTCCAACCTGCCCTTAAACACTGTCAGGGACGGGGCATTTTTCCTTTATTGGTTGATGCATCCCATCTTATGGGTGATGTTTTATGCCAGAAGCATTCTCTAATGCTGTTTTTGATTGCCTGGGGTTTGTTTGCTCCTTGTCAAGATTGTGTGTGCAGTATCTCCAGCCTTTTGTCACAGCTTTGCCATTGAGCCATGATATCTGCCTTCAGAGGCACCTCTGCACTTGCTCCTGATGGGGACAGAATCAATGTGTGTGTCTTAAGGTTGGTTTTAGAGAGAAATTCTTCTCTTGGTGGACTACTTGGATATTTCCCTGGTTTGCTTTAATTGTGGATGGGTTTGGGGAATGTTTTTGTTGACTGCTGCTATCAGAACACGGAGATGTACTGTCTGGGACATGGATCCAAAGTGGTTTGGCAAGGCTGAGCAATGCATTGACAAACACATCTGCAGATCTCCTTGGACAGGCTTCCTGTACATGAGCTGATACGCTGGCACTGTGTACAGTCATTCTCTCCTGGACACATAGGGTGAGCTGCAGGGCTGAGGAGATGACAGTATTAACTGTGCACCTTGAGTGTCTTGCTCTTATTCAGCAGTTAATTATTAGCATATATGCTAAAGAAGGAAAGAAAAGAGAATAAAAACATCTTCAGTAGAAATAATACTAAGCAAACCTGATTGAATCTTGATTGCGCTGTAAAATGATAACTAATCTTAGAAACACAGAATGGTTTGGGTTGGAAGGGACCTTAAAGCTCATCCAGTTCCAACCCCTGCCACGGGCAGACACCTTCCACTAGTGCGGGTTGCTCCGAGCCCCTGGCCTTGAACACTGCCAGGGATGGGGCAGCCACAGCTTCTCTGGGCACCCTGTGCCAGCGCCTCAGCACCCTCTTATGTTTCCTACTGTTTCTAATCATAGACTCATAGAATGGTTTGGGTTGGAAAGGACCTTAAGATCATCCAGTTCCAACCCCCCTGCCATGGGCAGGGACACCTCACACCAGACCATGTCACCCAAGGCTCTGTCCAACCTGCCTTGAACACTGCCAGGGATGGAGCATTCACCACTTCTTTAGGCAACCCATTCCAATGCCTCACCATCCTCACAGTAAAGAACTTCCTCCTTACATCTAACCTGAACTTCATTCTGTTAAAGTAGATGTGGGGTTTTTTCCTCTCATTTTCTCTTTTTTTTATTTTGCTAATGTAGCTGTTGGAGAGGTAAGGTACTTCTTTAAGGCAGGGCTGGGGTGAGAGACCTGCTGACTTCTCAGTTTTCCCTTGGGGACAGGAGGCAGGTATGTCACTACCTAAATGCGTCTGCCTTTCAGATGGGTGGAATGAAATGGGTTCTTCCAGCTGAGATGCCTTCAGGGAAAGCCTCATTTCTAAACCTAGGAAACTGCATTTTGTATGTTCAGCAGAAACTTTGCCAAACCAGGAAGGTTATTCCAAATGAAAATGAACAGGGTTTTGTGTTAATGCAAACTGAAACCCCGAGTTAACCCACATGTAATTGAGTTCTTGCATACACTGACCCCACTGTGTGAGCATGAGCGTTGGAAGAGGATTGATGCAAACACTGGCTTCTTCCCATTTATTCAATGTGTAACCCCCTCGGTGCCCCCTCATTGTGCTGTGTCCATGCTGAGGGCACCCAGGTCTTCTGTGTAAGTCTGTTCCAGAGAGCTTCAGAGCATTGCCGTGTGCAGCAGCATCACGTTTTGCAATGCTGATGAAAGGCATGTTGCCTGTTGAGTGTGATTTTTGCTTACATTTCCCTTTATCACTTATTTCACTCCGACTTCAACAGGAGGAAATAAAAACCTCCTCAGCTTGCATGCCAGGAGCAACTTCGCAACATTAGACATGATGCTGCTTCTCTCATTCCTTTCCATTCCCCTTTTCTATTTTAAGCTCTTTTCCTTGAGGAAAGGAGCCTTGTCCAAACATGCTCTTAGCAAATCCGTTCTACCTTGGTATTTGTTGAAGCTTTCTTGACCGGTTTCAACAGCAGAGCAGAGGTCATGAGGATAAATGAGGTTCCTGTGGCTGAAGAGCAAAACAGTGTTCTTGCTGTAAAAGAGGTCTAGGGCTGGTAGAAAGCATGGGATCAGACACTGGAGATGCAAAGGAAGCAGCACCATGGGAAGCTGTTGAGTAGCTAAAGGACTTTTCTGGGCTGCGTGTATGTAGTGGTGCATACACCAATTCTTTGTCTGTTTTTTATAGCATTTTCTTTTTTTCCATGACAATTTACTTCTTTGTCTTTATTCTTTTTCCCCTTTTGCCTCTTTCAGTTTCTTTCACCTCTTCATTTTTCTGTCAGTTATGGAAAAACTCCAATTAAGACATAAATTTAGCATTTTGCTTCAGAGCAAATCTCTTACTCTTCATCCAGCTGTGTGAAGTCAGTGTTTTTCTCTCCTCTGAGTTCATTTCTCAGTGCCAGAGGCCCATGGCTCTTGCAGATCATAGTCTTCAATAGAGGCAGGGACTGCATAGGTACGATTGCATCACTATGAAGAGTCTTCAAGGGGGGAATTGATGCCTTGCTCCACTGGTCTTGAGAAAGGAATGAGGTTCTTGATGGGTGAGAGCTGGCTGTGAAGGGGTCAAGCTACAAAGCAGAGTGCGGTTGTGCTTAATCCTTACTGGTAGAGTTCAACTGAGGATTTGGGCTGGATGGTTTTAAACCGTAGTAAGCCGGTTGCTTCCTATGTGCACTTTACTCCTTGCAGGAGTTTCATGGTACAAAAGAGGAGTTTTGGTTTCCAAGTAACTCTCTCCTGGAAGTTTCTTCAACAAAGGATGATGTTATAACTTCCATTAAAACTTTCAAAGGAGCGAAGATGCAGATGTGGGAATTCTGTGACTGTCTCTTACAGACCACAGACATAGCTCTTTGTGGGGCATTGGGGAATAAATGCATTACAGTTCTGAGGTGTTGAGCTGCGTTGCTACAGCTGTGTTAAGTATTGTAAGTAGAAAGATTGAACGCTCATCCTGGTTTTCCTCCTTTTCCTTTTGATTGGAGTTACTGTAATTCTCATCTCTTCATTTCTGAAACTTTTGAGCTATTTTGGCTTAGCTGCAGAATTGAGTTCACGGAGGGAATTGACTTCACCTGGCTGCAGAAAAGCCATTAGGAGATTCAAATTAGTGTGAAATAATTAATAGGCAAGGAAGATTAACATGGGGAACACGGGCAGTTTTCATTAACATTAAGTGAAAGGATGTTTCTGTAGATACCTTTACCATGCATGTTGTCCTAGACCTCTAGCTATTCCCTTTGGATATTAATTATATCCAGATCACTAGAGACAAGACCTTATAAGTCTGCTCAGCCTTTGCATTTGCATTTCCTCTTGAAGAGGAATTGAAAGGCATTTCTGCTTGCCAGCTTGCTCACATTCCTCCTTCCCCTGTTGTCGGTGGTGGCTGGAGCTAATGCCTGTCACTGCGCCTTGAAAGCCCCAGGGATGACCACACGCATCAGAAGGGTCTTCTCCATCCTGAGCAGGATGGAGGGCAGTGGACTAGGAGTTCATAGGCTATATTTTGCTCCAGGCACTGACACCACATCAGTGCACTGGCTAGGACTCGTCCTGAGTGTCTCCCATAGACAGAGGTGTGATGAATTAGAGATAGAATTGCACTGAAGCATGGAAAACACTGGAATAATGGTTGCAAAAATCATGTGTAAGGCTTGTATGGTTATCAACCACTCTCTACAGCTAGCTGAAAGGAGGTTGGGACAAGGTGTATGTCAATCTCTTCTCCTGGGTAAGAAGTAATAGGACAATAGGAGATGGCTTCAAGTTGTGCCAGGGGACGTTTAGGTTGGATATGAGGAAAACCTTCACCAGAAGGGTTGTCAAGCATTGGAACAGGCTGGCAGGGAAGTGGTGGAATCACCGTCCCTGGAGACATTGAAGGGACTTTAAGATGTGGCACCTGGGGATATGGTTTAGTGGTGGACTTGGCAGTGTCAACTCACCACGCTCAAGTCGCATAGTTCCTTAAGACCACGTTTGCAGCTAAGCTGTCCCATTGTAGCTGACCAGAGCGTGTGTGAACACACTTTGCTTTAGTAAATCATGTACTTATAAGCTTATGCTTTCCATTTGTTGCACATAACTGTGTAGCTGCTCAGGCAAAAGAAAGAAGAATTAGTAAAGACAATATCAGAAATGCCAGTGTTAGCTGCTGCTGTTCTAGCAACTGCAATAAATCAAACACATCATCGCATCAAGGGTGAGCTGATAGCAGTTGGGTTGTCCTGTCTGCTGCCGAGGGGCTCTGCAGATGAGGAAAACAAATGGAAACTGTTGGAAATGTCCAGTTAAGGAAGGAAAGGAGAAAAAAATGCATATAGGATTCTGTAACATACCTGCTGGAAAACCTTCACAGCTCTCAGGCCCCACAGTGCAAGTGACAGTCATCTTTTCCCAGCTGTAGCCCTGAACTCTGTTAGTGTTGGGGCATGCAAAGTGTTTGCTGGGTATCAGCAACCTCATGCTCCTTTGTGGGAGTTGTGGTATTTCAGCATCCCTTGATGTAGTCAGAGATGTTTAATGTTTTATTAGACACAGATGTAGTTCACATTCAGTTCCCTGTGCAGTCTCTGTGTGTCTTTACTTCGCTTGGCACTACAGATGCAGTTTTGCTTTGCTTTCTGCTGCTGCTTTTAAATTGCTTTGCTTGTCTGCTTGAACTGTTGAATGCTCCATGAATAGTTACAACAGCGCTGCTGGATGTGTTGAAGCTTGAAATTGGAGCAGTTAAAACTCCTTGTAACTCTTTGCTTTGCTTTTCTAAAGCAAAACCAAAATGAAACCGGGCTGTAACATGATATTAAAGTCCAGAGGCAGGAAGCTGCAGGCTTGGCTCAGTTCGATGCAGCTTTCTCATACAAACCATTCTCCAAGCATTGCATTTGCAAACTGTTTGAAAATTCTGCACAAACCCTGCATCTACCTTTGGTTTCTCATGTAATTTGTACTTGTTTGAGGTGTGGGGGTGAAACAGAGCTTTCTGTGGGGTATTTTTGGGTTGAGATTTCAAGCCTTCGAAAGGGGCTGCAAGGATGCTGGAGAGGTACTGTAACGATAGGACATCTTCATCAGGGGCTGAAATGATAAGAGGTGATGGGTTCAAACTGAAACAGGGGAAGTTCAGGTTGGAGATAAGGAGGAAGTTCTTTATTGTGAGGGTGCTGAGGCACTGGAATGGGTTGGCCAGGGAAGCTGTGAATGCTCCATCGCTGGCAGTGTTCAAGGACAGGTTGGACAGAGCCTTGTGTGACATAGTTTAGTGTGAGGTGTCCATGCCCATGGCAGGGGGTTGGAACTGGATGATCTTAAGGTCCTTTCCAACCCAAACCATTCTGTGTTTCTAAAACTGGAGTTAGCACACTCTGCAAAGCTCTGAAAATCTTATCCTGTGCTGCTCATTTGTCAGTGATTTAATGAAAGCTGGATCTTGTTAGTAACAAGCGAAATTCCTGGGGGACAAGTAAGCCCAAGCTAATTTCTTGTGTTATATATAGCCTCATATATAAAGCAAAGGAAAGGAGTGTCTGGGATGGTGGATTTAAGAGGAGCTATGGGAAGAGAAGAGTGGGGAAATCTCTAGCAATGATCCCCTGCGCATTTGGATTAAACACCATTTAATGCCCTGGATTTGTGTCAACGTGACAGACTGATCCAAGACTTTATTTACGGCTGTTACAGGGCTGGATTGTCTCATGTGAGTGCTGCTGTGGGTGAGATGTGCGAGAAGCAG